TTGTGGGTTCCCAAAGGGTTGATCCGACTTTGATTGGTCGACTCTGTGGCCCGCTACCACCTTTACCCACGCTGCGATCGATTGTCGACAGAGTCTGGAAGTGTGATTTCTCAATCGCGATGGTGGAGTGAGGTCTTCTCCAATTCGTTCTCCCCGATCCGGAAACTGCCCGACGCCTTCTCACCGGCTCTCCATGGATCTTTGAAAAGTTTCTCATCCAAGTGCGAAAATGGAAGACCCCGATGGTGGAGTTGGCGGCAGAACTAATTCGAGTTCCGCTCGTGGCGCAAAATCCGGGAGGTGTCGTACTAGTGTTGCACGGAGAAGTTGGGATCTTTGCTTGGGGCGCGGCCATGGGCCTAGTGGATCCTTCAACCATACACAGATCTGTCACCTCCGGTGGCCTCTACATCAGGGCAAAGGTTACTCTTGATATCCAAAACCCTCTTCCGATGAAGTCTCTGTCGCCCATGTGGATCCTTCCAAAGGTAGCTTTATAGCCAAGGTGAAATTTGATTCCCTTCCCCAATTCTGCTTTCGGATATACAAAGTTTTGCCCTAAAAATCTTGACACACTCGAAGGAGAAGGGAACTTACGATTGGTAAGGATAAGCCAAGATTTCCTTACATGACATGCGCTTCACAGATAGTATAGTCTCTAAGTGCGAGGGTTGACTTTGTATGCTACTTAGTTCTCTTCCTACGATCGAAAGTCACTTCTCATCGTGAAGATCAAGTGAGTTGTACGACTGTGAGTAAGGTTTTATCATAACTTCATGATTTTCATACTTTTGGCATCATAATATCCTTGATTTGCTACGTGATCAATCAAAGTGCATACTAGTAGCACTAGACTTGCTTTTATTAATTTGATGCCTTCTCGATACTATTTCGTGTGTCTTCAAGGCATAGCAACCTGGTGGAACAATTTGGACATGGTAGCGGACATCAAAACTCGACTATTGTAATCAGAGAATGAAATGGTGAAAGAGATAAACGAAAATGTCGAATGGAGGAAATGAACAGGCAGTTAGGGATTTTGACTTGAGAGTCAATATTCGCAATCAAACCGGTTGGAACCTATCGGTTAGAACCCCAACACGCTTTATTTAGTGGACAGGACTTCGATCGAGTGGGCTTCACTAAACCAGGCCCAAGAATCATTTAGATTGATTCAGGTTCTGTCGAAAACAGAGGAATGCAGAATAGAGTGTAGGGAGAAGGAAGAGAGAGCAGAAAGTAAATTGCACAGGGAGTTTTTAACGAGGTTCGCCACAGGGCTACTCCTCGTCCCAGGATAGTACCACTATCCTGAGAGACACTTTGATTTTCTTTATATGACTCAAGCAACGAACAACCAAAACAAAGAAAGTACAGACTCTGGTGAGAAAACCAAAATGTCACAAAGCTAGACCAGAATTCACGCAAGAATTCTTTACACCCTTTGATCAAGCTGAACCTATTCCTCAGCTTGATTCAAAGCCACTGATTCCCAAACTCAATCCCTTGCCCTTTGCCACAAAGGAATTCCTGTTTGCTTCAGTACAAATGCCTTCCCTTGCTGCTCCTTTAAGTAGTCGTTGTAGGAGTCGTTGATGTTTGAATTTATGCAGAAAGGGTAACTTGAGCAAATGGCCCTTGATTCGTGGTTGATTGATCAGCTGGCCCTTGATTCGTAATTGATTGATCTGCTCCCCCTTGATTGATGATCTGGCAATCTACTAACTTGCTTCTTACCATCTCAACAACTATTAGGAGCCAGAATCAGGGAATGCAGAGAGGACAAAAATGACTCCGGAATCGGTAGCCTAATCACCAAAATGGCGCTCGGGTTGCCATTTTGAGGATCATCTAGAAGTCAGAGGAATCTTCAAGGAATATGTTGTTTGTTGTGGCCAAGCTGGAAGATGTTGATCGGGACTCGACGATGTGTTAGATAACCGTCCTCTCTCCCCCAAACTCCTAATAGAAAGTCTATCAACATACTTCAAGGAGGTAGGAGATCGATAGCAAGTGATATGAGGCATTAAAAGGGTTGTTGCTCAGCTGACATAGTGAATCACCCAACTTAGAGCAACACCGGTTACCAAAGCCAAATCAGTGCGAGAATTGGCAGTCTGAGCCCCAAAACCTCTGTTCCGGGAGCCAATTTGGTAAGCTCCAAAGGAATCTCGTTTTGATATATGTATCCCTTGGATCTCGTCCCCATGTCGGCTAGTTCCTTTAGTTTCATAGGTGGGTGAACCCTAGAGGTTTTAGACTTTGTAACGTTCAATTTTGGCATATATATGATGTTTTGATTCTTTTATCTTGTGCTAGTTTCTTTTGTGTTATCTATTGTCAATTTTGATTGAGAGCTTCAAGAAGCATGCATCCCTTCAAGATGTATGCTTTGGTATCCTAGTCTCATAGGGTGAAGACTGGATATGGTCGTTCTATACGATCGATTTACAATCGGTTGACCTGCATGACACCTCAAGAGAGAAACCTGTAGGGTCATGACGTCGGTGAGTGCCATGACACAAGATAGGAGTATATATCACAAGGATCAAGCAACACGTATGATGCAGGACCGACATTCGAGTCTAAGGAACTCTAGGAGGAGTTCGCAATTAGTGTTCAAACTATTTACTTTTCCAATCGCTTTAGTTATAAACCATAGTTTTAACCAAAAATCAATTGCTAGATAATGTTTCAAACAATTGAAGTAGGGGTACATGGGCCGACCCAGGTTTGACTTTTAAAACATACTTGTCCTATATTGCACCCGGTTAAGGTTTATACTTAAGCGTTAATCAGAATTTTTATTGTGATATTCGGGACGAGTCACTCCTAAGCTGAAGACTAAAACCCCGACCTGGGAATTGAGAGGTCGAGCAGGGATCGGGGCTGCTTCCGCTTATATGTTTTTCCTTTACTTTTCGGATTAGGTTCTTGAGACTTAAGAGACGGTTTTTCTATGTTATTTTGAGCCTATACTTATGTAACCTATATAAGAGGCTGAACTAATTCTTTTGGAACTAATTCTTTCTTGATCATGGAATCGATTCAGCAAAAAGGAACCCGACAATATTGTATACTTGGCTCTGTTCCCTACTCGTGGAATAGGTTTGGTTATTCTTTGTTTATGTTGATTGTGCTTCTATCATCCAAGTATTATAATTATATCATAGAAAATTACAACTCAATTTCACTCGCTTTCATAAACAATATTGTAACAAAATGTAAAGTAACATTGGCATTTTAAGAAAATTTTCACTTTATATAAAAAAGATTATGTATAATTATTCGGGGTGGTGAAGATGGGTTTTCTCGAACCAAACATGAGTAGATTTTGATAATGCAATTTTACATCTTGCCTAACTTTAATTTCGAATAAAGTACCAATTCAAAATCTTGGTTGGGAATGATGTATAGAAAAAGCGACTATACACCAACCCGCTGCCATCCTATAAATCTACCATATTTTTGCTATCTATTTACGGGACTGCAAAAATATGACAGTAACCCATAGATCAGTAACTGTGCATAACCCAACCATCAGCTGACACATCAGCACACACTCTCTCTCCATGAAAGTATTTAATCTTTTCCTTTTTTAATCTTTAACGAATGATTTCTCTCTCGTTTTAAGTCGAAATTTAAATTTTTTTGCACAAATAAATAAGATTAATTGTGCTCTTCAATTAGTATTAAAATAAGAGCATACCATATGGTATGAAAGGGTACCATGGTGGTATGAACATACCAAGATTGTAGGATGGTTGAATACATGATAGTAGGAGTATACTAACTGACATTTATGATTTTCAACATTGTGTACCACATGATACCACCCCACATACCAAGGTGGTATAGTATGATATTTTTTGGTCCTGTATTTTTTTCATCCATAATTTTTTAGATCCAATAGATCATAATTAACTTGTTACTCCTGTGCAAAAAATTTCGAAAACGACTTAAAAACGAAGGAGATACCATATGGTATGAAGTTGGTAACGAGAGGTATGAAATTCTTTTTCTAAAAAAATATTGAAAATAGATCTTATTTTGTAGAGCACAACCAACTCGTTCCACCTCTGCAAAAAAAATTGAAATCCAAGCTAGAACGAAGAAGATAAGAGTCGATTAAAAAAACTATAAAAAATTAAAAAAAACCCATTTAATCCCCAACACTTAGATTTGCAGCCCACTTAAAAAAAAAGGCTCCAGATTTGATTGTTAACCACCTTAAGGTTACTCACCCTAACTTGAGCCCTTTTACCATGAATCGATTTGGTTGGAGAAAATAACATAAATTATTTTGTTGTGGATTTTCTACTGAATCCGATAAAGAGGGTACTGAGTATGGTATTTTAAGTATCCACACTAAACTCACCTCAATATGTGCCACAACTATGGGTTAGACTCACTAGATTTAGTACTTCGGTCATTCATATCATGCAAGTATTATAATTATCTCGTAGAAAACTCTTACTCACTTTCTCTCACTTTCATAAACAATATCTTAACAAAACTTAAAGCAACATCGACATTTTAAGAAAATTATCACTTTATATAGAAAAAATTATACATAATTATTCAAGATGGTGCAGATGAATTTTCTCAAACCAAACACGAATAAATTTTGATAATGCAATTTTACATCTCTGCTTAACTTTACTTTCGAAAAAAATTACCAATTTAAAATCGTGGTTGGGAATGATGTATACTTGTATATAAAAAGCGGCTATAGACCAACCCGCGCTGCCATCCTATACCCCTGCGGCCTGCCATATTTTTTGTGATCTATTTTTACCCCAGGGAAAGGGAAAGATTCTTCTGACACGCCACAACCAAAAAAGTCAAATGCTGGTCCTCAACGGGCTATCGGGCATGCAAAACAAGTGCAGATCTGAAGTACAACTTACAACATATTTTGACGCCGAGCATATTAAAGACGCGCATTCGGTCAAAATTAACGTCGAAAGTCTACGAATTATTCGCAGGAAAAATGAAAGCCAATGTCAAAAACATATATAATTAGACTGGATTATAGTCTTCTCCTTCTTCATAACAACACCACCACATAACCAAACTGGAGCTCAAGGTCCACGTCAGTTACCAAAAGCAGGAAAGCAATTCATGCAATACCAACATAATTAATGTCCTTAACCAGCTATAGCGACCAGTTGATAATTAATTAATTAATAAATGGCTCTATCAGCAGCTGCAACAGCATCAACAGCCATCATGGTGCTCAGGTTCATGGGTCGGATGTGGTCTGTCGAAGCATCCATCAGCTTCTTCACCATGATCCGCAGCGCCTTCTCCGTGGGGTGGTACGGGTCCCAGAAAACGTACTCGTCCCTATTGCTGCACAGGTTCGACATCTCTGTGCACATCCCCAGCCCGTTGTACATCCCCTGCCCGCAGCAAGCTACCTTCGACGTCTTAAAACCTGCATTCGTAATCAATTAATTAAAAAATTAAGAAGAACCATAAGTACAGCAAAAATTAAAAAAAAAAAAATGGTAACAACTTTTACACACACACACGTGTGCCGTGCGCACCGTATTGCTCCGGCTTTTCGATCATGTCCATCTTCAAGGAGAAGGCGTTGGCGGAGATGAAGACGTCCTCGCCGATATCCCTGTTGAGCTCGTCCACCAGGTCGAACAGCTTGGGGTTGAACATCTTGGCCGCCTCCTGGGGCTCGTCGGCGCACTCGCCGTTCATGCTCCCGTAGAAGGCGAGCTCGGCCGGTATGCAGCCCAGCGGGCCCGTTCCCGTCACCACGATCCTCCTGGCGCCCAGCCCGTAGAGCGCCAGGAGGTGCTTCTTGTACTCCGACATCACGTAGCCGCAGAAATCCGGGAGGGTGTACTGCTCCCGCCGGGGAGCCACCGGGGTAAGGAAGTAGTTGTTCACGAAGTCGTTCCCGCCGCAGGTTATGAGGATCACGGCGTTGCTCACCACCTCTTGGGCCTTGGCCGGGCCCATCAGCGCCGCCAGCCGGTGCTTGTACTCCAGGAACATCCCCAGTTGCTCGTACATCTTCAACACCGTAACCTGCGGCAGCCTCTCCCACCAAACTTTAATGAGTGAACCCTAGGTCCTAATTATCTAAATTATAAACTATAAACTCTAAGATGTTACATTCTTTTTTTTTTTTTGCCTATATTTAGACGAATCATAACCGTCGATTATTGTTTCTAATTAAATTGATTTTGGGTATAAGATTTAGAGAATTAAGACCTAGATTTTGATCTTTAAGAATTAGAGTATAGTATCATGTCCGAAAAATCAGTCAAGGCAATTGGATCTGGCAACTTACGAACTGAAAGCCGGTGTCATTGAGGACTCCGATCCCAGCAGAGGCAAAGTTGGCGCCAGCCAGTAGTTTCTTTCCCTTAAGATCCGGATTTAAGAACGGAAGCGGTGACTCCAACCCAAGCGCCTCCGCTACGTGCATGTGACGCGCGTGATCACAACGTCCAATGAGAGGGAAGAAACACCCAAAATTACAACATAAAATTTTACGAGTACGTCACGCGAGCCGCAACGACATATATACATACCAATGAGGTCAGGGAAGTTGAGGCCATTGGAGAAGCGGCCCGTGGGTTGCTGGTGGGGATAGTCTATGCCGTTGGGCGGCGAATCCGCACGTGCCGTCGTCATTAAGTAGTTATTATTCCCACTGTCAACCAGGGAGTCCCCAAACACTAGAAACGCTCTGGCTGGCACGGACTCCTGAGAAGACGGGCCCGGAGCCGGCGCCGGCGCTGCAGCCGTTGCTGGTGCCGGTGCCGGTGTTGCCGTCGAAACCCGTGCGGCTAATACTAGTACCGCCACGGCAGCCAGAAGCGAAGTGGCCGTCGCAGAGATATTCCTCATAGGAGGCGAGAAGAGCATTATATGGTTTGCGCACGATGGTGTAGAATTGGCAACTTTTTTTTTTATCACGGCTTGATGTGTTGTTCTTCTGGTTGTGGGATTTTGCTTGTTTATAAAGAGAACGGGTGAGCATCTGTTTGGGTAAAAAAAACTTTCCCTAAAGTGTGTTAGCAATTGGTTGAAGCACTAATAAATGTGGCTATCTAACTTGGAGGAAAAAGACAGAGGTGCTTATTTAAGAAGGTTCTACCATCACCAGTTAATTACTCCCATGCACATATATTAACTTTTTCTTCTTCCACTTCGGTTACATGCAATCTTTTTTGCGGTTACTTTTACAAAGCTACATGCCTGCATTTATTTCAAAAGTTTGCCTTGGTTTTGGAGAAAAAAAACCTCTTATTTTCTGGTATAAAAAAATCATAATACCGTAGAGGGTTGAGATTGGAGAAAATGTGATCTAATGGTCGTCTTTGTAGAGAAGTAAAGAGGAAAAGTAGGAGTTTGTGGAGACAAGAGAAGCGACCAGATTTCTTGGGTAGTTGACCAGATTTTTAGGCGGACACAAATTTCCAGATTGCTGGTAAAATATTTTTCAAATCGCACAAAAAAAAATTAGCAAAACTTATCTTATTCGTTTTATTTCGGAATTCAAAATTTTTTTACGTAGAAAAATCAATATTTTTTGTGTTCTACAAGATGATATCGATTTTGATATTTTTTTGAACAAAAATTTTTCAGGCCATCAAATTACCATTACCATATCACAATATGATAGTGATATGATGTTGGTATAAAGTCTTATGTTTGGAAAAATAATTTGATGACATTATATCATTGTCATATTAATTATAATATTATCACTATAACATTGTTAAAAATTGAAGTTAATTCTAGAGTTATCTTACTCGCACTAACTACCTATTCCCAATCCATCGAGGGTCAAACATAACTGACGACCGAGTGTAGCATAGGGTGAGCAAAGTAATACAATTATCGATCCACGAGTCTCTAGATGTAATGTTACTTCAACTTTAGTATATTATCTAGCCAAACAATAATAGTGATTAATTAAGACTAAGCTAGCTAAATAATCTAACAACTACCCTAACTAATTACAAGGTTGGGAGCTCACATAGGCATGAATCCCCCTAATTCTGTCATTTGGACCGATGGTGTGTACTATCATAGATTGATTGACTCGGTACTTCTACTGCCAATAATTCTAGATTAGGTTGGACTCCCGCTCAATTGTTTTACCCGGCGAGGCATACCATACAACCGACATAGGCGATTGAGGTGTTCATAACCAATTCCCACGATTGGACAAAAAACGAATACGAAACTGTGGATCCTATCACACTCATTCAAAGACCCATAGTGAATGATTGAAGGTGCTCTATTCAACCTAGAACGATATTCTCTCTCCTAGGTCAAAAGCTCAATTGACATGTAATGGGATCAAGACTCATGCAATTCCTCATAAACATCAATCAAATAGATAATAGGATTTGTCACATATATAAAAAATATAATGAAACCAAAATCTAAAACTAGAATTAATCAACCTAAGTGAAGGAAGCTAACTCATAGAGAAGAAGAGAGAGAGAACAATATAAGGTGATTTGCACCCCCAAAGTAGCACCATGAACCCTCTAGGCCACTCTCTCTCTCTCTAGAATTACCCCCTTGGGTGTTTTAGGGTAAAAAACCCAGCTCTTCTTGCTCAAAATCCTTGCTGTCAATATATACCCGTACGTAGCAGTGCAAGGATCACACCCTTGGGTTGATTTCACAGCAATGAAGTGTACATTTCATGGTTTAGGTGTTATTTTCACTCCCTCGGATAGTGTAGTGTGCACTAAGACCTGAAACATGACAAAAGAAGCACAACCTAACATAAAATGGGTCTAGGAACAATATGACACTATACTGTCTATGTCTTAGTAATTGATGATGTTAAGTAATTGATTATGTATTGAATATTTTAATTAAAAATCCGTAAATATGACACTTACGTAATCATTTTGTTGAATACATATAAAAAGTCGACTAACCATGTTAAGTATGGTAGAACCGCTTGTTGGTACAACATTTTCCCTCATCCAAGACACATTTCACTTTCCACATAAATAGTTGATACTCTTCCATCTAGTTTGTAAGGCTCCATCAGTATGTATATTGATGAATGAATCATCCCGAATATCACAATAAAAATCCCGATTAAGGCCCAAGTATAAACCTTAACCGGGTGCAATATAGGCCAAGTATGTTTTAAAAGTCAAACCCAGGTCGGTCCATGTACCACTACTTCAATTGTTTGAAAGATTATCTAGCAAATGGTTTTTAGTTAAAACTATGGTTTAAAGCTAAAGCAATTGAAAAAGTAAATGGTTTGAACACTAATTGAGAAGGCTTCACTCGGGTGTTGCTCCCCCTAGCTAGTAATCATGACTTGTCGCCGTTGTCGGATCAAATACAAATGTGTGGTAAAGGCGGTTGTAAATCGTAGGAAAGTGCAACAAGTGAACAAGTGTCACTCTCTCGGTCACTAGGCCAAGGGATTTGGAATCAAGCTACCAAGGTAGCTCTCTTGGCCAATCGACTAAGGGTTGCTTGGCCTTCTCCCTCGAACCGTAGTCCGGACGACCAAAACAAAACCTACCCAAGGTGCTAATACGTATTGAGAGGTTCCCCCTAATTCAACCTAAGCAGGTAACACAATTTGGCAAAGGAATTCCAGCTTTAACAAGCATCTTATCAAGAAGGGGATTTTCCTCTACCTAGGTCAAAATGACATAAGAGTTGGAAATGCAAAAACACAACACAACGTTCATGAAAATACCTCATAACTTGTACTAAAACACAAGCACACACAAGTCATTAAATCCATACAAACATTCACATAATTATAGTTAGGGTTTACAAATTCCCAAGTGAAAAAAAGGACTACTCTATTCTAAGTAGAGGGAATACACAAAGGAGAAGAGTGAAAACCATCTTGATGATGTTTGCCTTCTTCCTTGTGGTGTGGAGATCAACCTTGGAGGAAGAAATTCCCAAAACTTTTCTCTTGGATGAAACCCTAACTTCTCCTCCTTCTCTTGTTCGTCACTTTCTCACTCTAGAAATCTGAAGAAGAAGAAGAAGAAGAAGTCTCTCTCACTAGGTTCTCTCCCTTTTCTCTTTAAGCTCAACCCTCCTTATATACCCAGATTGACGAAATTCCCCGGTCCCAGTTCACGGCCGTGAACATAGGGCTTGGACCGTGATGTCAAGCAAAAGCACGTCGTTTCACTTAGGTGCTTCACGGTCTAGAGCGGTTTTTCACAGTCGGCTGGTCGTGAAATGCTGAACGCCCGCGAGGTGTGCAAAACTATCCTAGACTCCATGCGCTTAGCAGTCTGCGCCCCTTCTTCACAGTCTGGCTGATCGTGATCTGCTGGCCTCCCCTGAGAACAATTGTTTGTTCCCTTTTGACTGGTTTTCCCCCCTTTTCGTCCAACCTTCGTTCCAGGGGTTGATTTCACCTGCTAGGATTTGAAACGTACTAAAAACAACCACAACCTAGCGTAAAACTGAACCTTACAGAGTTAAAGTGCCTCAAACATCTAAGGAAAACCGGATAAAAAGTGTACAATTAGACCCGAATCACTCCTCTACACTTAGACGTTTGCTTGTCCCCAATAATCAATTCCAAACAAGGTAATATGTCAACCTAACAAGATAACTTGGGGACATATCAAAGGGCTCAGAGAGGGTGAATCCCAATGGCTATTGGGCATCAACACATGAACTATTACAGGCAATATCGACATCCACCACAAACGACATTCGAATACATTAAGAACATGCAAACAAAAAGTTCTCATCCTGTTCACAAATCAATACAAGTCTCGACGGGACTACTCACCAACCACAACTAACCATGCTCAGAGTTCAAGTCTAAGGAACAAACAAATGGACAACATAGGTCCTCACCGGGATAAGCATCAACATGCAAAAAATGAAATTGTTCTAAAATATTTTATCTCCTATGGAAATATGCAGTATTTGCATCACCCTCCTTCAACCATATCTCCCTAAAATTTTGCCTCATAAAAGGCTCTTCTACCTCCCTTAACTCCTTTAACTCGATGAAGACCATCTTCTCTTTTTCAAAAGAAACTTCTTAAGGATAAGATAAAGTTTTTGCTTGAGACAACACCAAGTCATCTTCCTTTGACCTGACTCTCCCTCTGTAATCTGAGTACTCTTCTCTACCGAGCTTCTTCTATAATCCCTTAACGATTTTAAGCTTCTTGCAACTCTCGCAAGTGGATACCCATCAACTTCCCTAGATCAAGGAGTTTGAACAAGATCCATAAACTAAAGATGACCCATCCAAAACTTTAAAAACTTAAAAAGTCTTTGGGAGATACTTGATAGAGCTATTTGTTTCCAACATTATGGGGCAGTTGTCAAAGACCGAAGGATCCAGTAAATCAACTTTGCTAGAGCCAAAACTTTCCAACTAACCTATATTAGCAAAGGCCCTATCAAGCCTCCTTGCATGGGGTTGCCTTCCTGCTTACTGATCCATGTGAACAAAGGACTAGTAGTCTTATGTTCCTCAATTTCTAGGTTATGCTGCCATTGCAAGAAATCATCATACTAGATGAGGAAGCAGGAGAGTTCGAGGCTTCACTAGTGTGAGCAATTGCATTAAAATCTCCTAGTAAAATCCATGGCTAATTTACCAGTTTAATACCTTCAAAATCAACATATAATTTTCTTCTACTAGCCTCTTCATTTGATGCATAGTTCAGAGTGCTGAAGAAAGGGATACATGTCAAAACCTGATCTGACTGATGCAGAACTCTAAACT